AACTGAAAAAATAAAAAATGTTAACAGATTTTTAAATATTTCAGTTTAATATGGGAAAAAAGTCAGATTTTTGAGATTAAAGTCAAAATTCTGAGAACAAAGTCAGAATTCTGACTTTGATCTCAGAATTCTGACTTTAATCTCAGAATTTTGACTTTAATCTCAAAATTCTGACTTTAATATCAGGAAGAGGATTAGGGCAACTGAAAAAATAAAAAAGTTAACAGATTTATTTTTTCAGTTTAATATGGGAAAAAAGTCAGAATTTTGAGATTAAAGTCAGAATTCTGAGATTAAAGTCCGAATTCTTACTTTTTTACCATCATAGACTGAAATAAAATTTAAAAATCAGTTAACTTTTTTTTATATATTGTCAGTGGCCCTTATCCTCTTCCGTAGCAGCCCACGTGTCTGCACCCCTGTAATTTTCTCAAAGGCCTAAACTGACGCAACATTTGAGCAATAGAGTGACCATGCTCTGTGAATCCTGAGCAACTTTTTTTTTGTATTTTCCATCCAGAATCGGCGTAGAGTCCTGATGATGCGGCGGGCGGAGCCAGCAGCTGCTGTGAGCTCAGCCTCAGCCTGTCTGCTGTCCTGTCATCGCTCTGGGTGTGGTTTTTTCTTCTGCAGCAGCGGTACCGTTAGCAGGAAACCAAGCTCCCAGTCCGCTTCACTTTAAGGCGAAACAAAGACAAACCCTCCCTGGAGCGCAGCTTTGAAAAGAACAGGAAAAAAATATAACATAGTTTCTTTTTTTATTAAAAAAAAAAGGAAAAAAAAGTACCCTCGACTGGAGAGGGCGTTCAGTTGGCGCCGTGGTTCTGATGGGAAAAAAGTTTTCTCAGCTGAATAAAGAAGTTTAAAGGAAATCTGTGCGGGAGGCAAACGACTGGAAAGATGCCGAAAACGGTAAGAGGCGACATTTTAACGTACTTTCCCACATCCCTTTGTTCTGTTCATTTCTAATACAATGGAAGGAGCCGTTTAGCGAAGTGAGTTAGAGAGAAGTTAGAGGTGTTTTATAGCATCCTTTCAAACTGTCTGCTACTTTCCGTTAACCGTTTGTGCGCGTGCGCGATGCCGCCTGTCGGCTCCCTGCATTAGCGCCTTTAATGTAAACCTTCAGTCCGCTTCTTTTTTTTCGCTCTAAATACTCCTCCCTAGCTAAAGCTAACACGGATATCATATTAATCCCACTCTGTTTTCTGAGGAGGAAGTTTGGCCTGCTTCCGAAGCGAGCCAAGTGGAGCCGAGCCGAGCTAGCCCTTCATTTTTTCCCCAAAGGCCTCCTTTTTAGGCTGCTCAAACCAAGGAGATATTCGGACTGTCATTCGGACAAAACTTGTATTTAAATGGAGAAGATCAGAGCTGTGAATGAAATGATGAGCAGAGATTGAGCCCTAAAATCTGTGTTAGTGGTTCTCATGCTGTGGACAAAGAAAAGCAGGGAGGGGGGGTGGACACAATGGCAATGCCTGTTCATGACTCCTTAATGTGGTTTCTAACATCTCATCTGTGTCATCAAGGCACCTGATCCATTCTCACAGGCTCAGAGGAAGACAGAAATAAAAAAAAGATTACAGGCACTGGCTGGAAAAATGTTCACAGTTAATAAATGGCATGACCAATGAGATGGAGATGATCAGCCTACAGGGAAACTGCTTCATTATGAGTGAATTAACTGCATATTATATGTAATAGAACAGTTGGAATCAAGTTAATTAAAGATGCAGATTAGTTACAGCTTTAATAACCAATAAAATGTGTCCTTATCGTTTCTGCAGTTTAATGAAGTGTAATGAGATGGTTAAAAAAAAAGAAAATGCAGAAAGCACTGCAGTTTTTCTGTGGTATAGAATATTAAAGTATACTAAAGGGCAGATTAGACTTCTGCAACCGCACACATCAAATGTTAATAGCGTCTGGTTATGAACCAGTTTTTCTTGTATGCTTCTGCAACGTCGGTCTGGTATTTCTAGAGACGCACAGCAGTTTCCTGCCAAAGCACAAGAGGGAGCCTATTCGAGAACTTGCGAGAACTTCTTCGGCGGCGCCGGCGGGAGTGTTTATTTTCCAAAACGACATGTCTGAGGCGTATTGTATTAGTGGTTGTACCTCCAAACCTCCTCAATAAAGCTTTTGTCGTGGTTATCCATTGTTGATATTACTCCTTGTTTTTAAAAAATGGCCCACCCCGGCACAGAATAGAGAAGGACGACCACCCAGACAGCCTGAAAGGCACACCAAGAACCAATCACAGCTGCTTTTTGTCTGCTAAAGGTCTGCGTGGGTTTGCGACCGTCCGACGTGTAGTCGGGAATTTTTTTTAGGTGTGCGACGACGGTCGCAGAACCTCTGCGTGGGGGGGCGTGGTCGCCCACAGAGACAGATTTGATGGTCGCAGAGTCTATGCATCAGAAGCATAAATTGGCCTTTAGACTTCTGCAACTGCACACAGCAAATGTCGCTTGGGTCTGGTGGCGAACCAGTTTTACTGTTATGCTTCTGCACTGTCGGTCTGGGATTTACAGGGAAGCACAGCAGTTTCCCGCCAAAGCGTTATGGGGAGCCTATTCGAAAACTCACGAGAACTTTGGGGGATGGTCACAAGAACTTTGCCGGCACCGTCGGGAGTGTTTATTTCCCAAAACAACAATGGCGCGTCTGCAAGATATCACGGTCACAGAGATGGATCTTGAGTTGCTAGACATCGAAGGGGAACAGGTTCTGTTAATGGGTTGGTAAAAAGACAGACTAACCCTTCGTCGTAGTTGTGTATTGTAGTTGTTTTAAAAAATGGCGCGCCCCGGCACCGAATCGAGAAGGACGACCACACAGATAACCGGAAAGGCATACCAAGAACCAGTCACAGCAGCTTTTTGTCTGCGCACTTCCGCTTGAGGTCTGCGCAGGTTTGCGACCGTCCGTTTGAGACAGATTTGACGGTTGCAGAGGCTATGCGTCAGAAGTATAAATTGGCCTTAAGATTGGAAAAAAAGATTGTTCCAAACTACAAAAATGTCTGTCCTCCTCTTCCTACAGGTTAGAGGGTTTTAATAAGATGCTGGAGTAAGTGCCTAAGTAATATTTGTATATTTAATTTAATTCAGTTTATTTACATAGCGCCAATTCACAACACGTCATCTCAAGGCACTTTACAGTTCACCAGATCATACAGTCAAATTAATTCAAAGTTTTCTATCTAAGGAAAACCAGTTTGCAGATTGCATCGACTCATTGACTCGAAGGCAATCCCTCACACTAAGCATGCTTGTAGCAACAGTGGAGAGGAAAAACTCCCTTTTAACAGGAGGACACCTCCAGCAGAACCAGGCTCAGTGTGAGCGGCCATCTGCTGAGGCCGACTGGGGTTCAAGGAGACAGAAGCAGAGATTTACAACTGTATCAGTGGTGTGGTGCCCTCCCTCACATGTTGCTGCACACTGCCAGTTAGCTGGCCTAAAGAAGGCTGCTATGCCTCTCTCTGGCTTACAAGAAGGACAAATTTGGCTATAAAAAAAGACTGATGGTCATGTTAGGAATTTAAATGAGAGGCAACCTCTACAGGAGCAGACAGCTTATGTTACCTTATAAAAATATTTAAATGTATCAATATAGCATTATTGGGTAAAACAACTTCTGATGTTAAGATTTTTAGCAGCAGCTGAAGTAGTCGTCTTATTTATTTATTTTTTAAAAAAAGTTTTTTTGGAAAAAAAAAACTTGAAGCAATTAAAAAATAAGCCGAACCTAATCAAAAAGGAAAAATAATTTTCCCACACCAAAAAAAGGGAAAAAAAAACAACAATCCACTAGATTTAGTTTCCAAGTTTGAAGAGGTTTTGCTTTCCATCCAGGAAGCTTTTTCAATTCAAAACGTCAGAAATATGCCTTCAAACATGGAAGCAAAGTCCAGTGGAATGTTTTTTTAAAACTTTATTGGAATGACTATGACCTGGATGACTGAGAATCTTCACCCGCATTTTTTTTCCATTGTTGCTAAAGTATAAGGATTGTTTTTCATGTATTGTTTTTCTGTTAACTAACTTTCTTGTGCAGAATGTGTGTTGAGATGCTCTTTCTGGGGTAACGCAAGTATAGTTAGGTGGAATGAGCTGGTTGATGAGTTGAGGGTTCAGGCTCTTGAGCTTACCTCTAATCAACTGCTTCACAGATATTCCAGCTTATGGACATGTCTTCAGTCTGAACTAAAGTAGCTTTATGGTCCAAATTAAGCAGAAACAGGTAGGGGATGGGACTTCTGTGTCTCTCTATTCTCAACAAACTCTGGTCACTTCTCTGTCATCTCATTGAAATGAGACGTGCAGTTTGTCGCTCTGTTTTATAAAAACAAACATGTGAAACATTTCCAAGCAGAATTTCCGTAAAAATGGCTCCCACTCCTGTACCTTCTCTCTTCCTGTGACATTGTTTCAGCTAGAACTTCCTCAGTGTTCTTTTTTTTTTTCCGTTTGTCACCCAGAATAAAATGCTAGGCGTTGTTGCCCCTGACGTCACCTTTGCTCAGTTATTTATATCTATTAGTGCTTTAGCTGGCAGAAGTAGATATTTGGAGGTTTTATTAAATTTCGTCAGTAAATAGTGTATTTATTAACATTGAACCAAATAAAACTACTGAGATTTAAACTGTATAACTATCTGAGTCAGACTGAATTTGTGTTTTATATCCCTAACTTTCATGTTTTTTTGTATGCCACAAAGCTGACTGGCAACAACCCGACCCCCTACCTTCTACCTAAGAATTTAACCTACATTAATTGCCATTTGGTAGCCACACCCGGTACATAGGCATAGAGAAATTGCAGCTCTGATGCAGAAGCTGTAATTAAAGATGGAAAAGGGAAACTAGTGCGGGTCAGAATAGATGTTAAAGAGGAAGCAGCAGAAATTTTTCCTAATTAAAGACTTGTTTGCGCTGTGGTTTCATTAAAACTAAAATGTGTTGTTTTAAATGTAATTTTTGCAGATGGAGGGAATCTGACTACTATTTTGATCAGCTTTTTGTGACACTCAGTGAAACCAGCATGTAAATGTAGGCTGAGGACGTGAATGAAAAAGGGGAAGTAAGATGCAGATATTCAGCAGATGTCCTAAAGGCATCAAAATGTACTTCTCATTTGATGAAAATGCAGTTTACTTTGGTGCTTTTTTTCTTCTGTTACTAAGCTTGTTCATTATAGCATTAGCTAGTGAAAACCTCTGTCTGCTACGTTGCTCTTAGTAGTGCTTTGCTTTCCCAAGGAAGTGATGTTGTGACTCAAGGTTTCTGCACTTACATCAGTTCCTTTCTGGTAATTTCCTCGCCTGCAGCCTTATATGGACTTTCACATCACTGCCTGGCTGTTCTCCACCCTGCTTCTCCCGGCGTGGTCCTCTGATGCCAGGCCCCACTTTAGATTGTATTATTGCAGTGCAACAAGGACAGAAGTTCCTGCATTCCTACTTTGTCAACTTTTATGACCTAATTTAGCTGAATTTTATTGCAATGTTTGGACCAAAAGGATATCTTTATGCTGTTAAGCAACCGCTTTATAATTGAAGAGATTTGAAGATTTCTGATTCACTTTTTAAAACACCATATTTATATATTACAATTGAGCTTTTAATGCTTAAGAATTTAGCTGAAAAAATATTCTTTTTCCCCCAAGTCGTCTGTATTCTACCTATTAACCTCCCCTATAATCCGATATGTGAATAATACTCTCCATAAACAAACAGAAACACTTTAACTGTCATCATAACACAGAACCTGAGCATAACTTACCTTTTTAAGCTCATATGCAGAAATCAAAACAGAAGTCGCTTGCTTGTTTTTGGACCCAGACCTTTAACAAGTGTGTCTATGGAGACATGGTGAATGGAAAGAGCTGGTGGTATGCGAGCAGGAG